CGGTCAATTAGGAAAGAAACGGCTGTGGTAATTTCAAGTATATTTCGGGGTCGGTAATTGGTACCAGACTTGTCTGGGAGGATAAAAACACTGACTTGTACATCGGCTGGCCCCCGCAAGTCATTGTATAGGCCACATCGCATTCAAACGCCACTACGAATGTACAAATGGAAGTAGAATGCGTGCCGCATCCCAAAAAGGGATTGATCAACGGCAAATGCTTTATCCTTTTTTTATCTTTTTCAAGTCAAAATGGGTCGATGACGAGCACAAAACCCCATCCGATGCCCTTCCCTTATTTCCTGACCCACACCCCTAAACGTGAGGTTATGTACGTGAGAGGGGTGAAGCGTCAGAGAGTGAGTCTGAGGGGAACTGTCACAAAGTATAAACCAGGCATACCAGTGAACCTCGCTCACATCCGAGAGCAATGTCAAATAGTTGTAGTCCATTCTCCATGTGCCATAATTCTATGGTATCATTTATGTAGTACTTCTAACTGCTTCGGCTCATTTCAGGCCAAATTTGAGTTGAGAAAGATTCATGCAAGCTTGCTCTTTGTGAGTAGCTTACTGAAGGATTTCAAAAAGTGGTAAGGAAATGCTGTGACAGCTGTCAAATAGCAAAAAAGAAAAGCTATAGAGCTAACGGTATAGGACTGAAGGTAGAAAATCTATGAAACTGTGGTAGCTCGCTCGAAGGTAATTAGATGAAACATTAAATAATTTTGCGTCAAAAACCCACAGAACAAGCACTGCGACACTTCGTGTTTTCCATGAACACTCTTTTATCGAACGAGATATCCAATCAACAAGACTATTGCCATCAGGATATGGTGGCGTGACTTCTTCCAGACAGCTTCTCAACTTAACTTCCCTAGTACTTTCGCGATTGTTTCAGAATGGAGCGAACAATTTCATTTTCGAGTCTGAGTCGATCATCGGATTTTTATTGTCCAGATCACGCTTCAGGGCAACAACTACGTAATAGTTGGAAGTTACCAACTCCGACGACTGAGCTAATGTAGCCTTCACTTTAAAATTCGAGATCACTCGAGCAGTAAAAGAAAACGCTTTGTTGTTCCCACAGGGAAGTTGTTTGGGTGTTGCCTGAAAAAGATACACCAATATTTGACTGTCATAACTCCTTGAGCTATCAATCTGACAATGCATAACCAACAAGATTTGAAATGGTTCCAAAATGAATTGCCCCCTCCTAAACAAGTAGTAAAAGCTATCCGAAAAAGTATGTCAACATTAGGAAAAAAGCACAACGAGTACTCAGCTTAAACGTCGTAAGTCTTCCCAATTCAATCCCCTGCGATAATGAAAGCTTTGTTAAATTGCGCGATAATGAAAACTTATTAAAGTGAATAAACATTACAAAATTTTAAAAACATTGACCAATAGTCACTTGAAAGTGTTTACATCCTTCTTATCTTACGCTTGATATCTCTCTGAAACCTTCGTTCAAGAAGAAATTTCAAACAACCCAATTGAGCTCCCATCTATAATAGTACTCAATGCTGCTGATATTCAAACACAACGCCTCCATTTCCTAGGTCACACTCTATCTTTCCCCACATCCGCACTCCTCCCAACGAGCCGAGCACCCACACCCCCGTCACCTGCTCTCTTCCTCTCGGCCTTGGTAGAGTTAGGCAAACGGTGGGCGATTCGTCGCTTTGTGCCACCTGCTCATGCCAGTTCGTTCATGAGTTTCGGTAATCGTCAAAAATCTGCTCACTCACAGGAAAAAAAATAGAAAAAAATATAATGTTTGTTTTTGCACCGCATGGGACGGGAGCAAGCGAGCGCAACGCCGCCGTACACCAAATCCATGGATTTTAAGTTGTAAATCCGCAATACTTAGATGCGATGAAATGTTTTCAATGTTCGATCTGTCTAGCTTATCAGGAGTTACAGTAATGGAAGTTTGACCGAAATGACGTGTTAAGGCCATGAAAGGGAAATTTTACCTAGTTTCCCTTTACTGGTCACAGAATTAATTTGGAGGTGGTTGTCTCAGTAAATTCACTTCTGTTACTCGTTGTTACATCAACATGTTTAAAGGAATCTTGCGCGGAAAATCCTTGCACTCTTTCCTAACATGAATATGTCAGTTGTGATCACTGGAAATAGCACACAAAGTTTCACGCATGAAGATTCGGTTTCTGAAGAGAAACAAACGTACAAAAACTACACGTTATGGACCATCGAAGGACCAGGAGGCAGAGCCAGGCGAGGCATGGAAAGAAGACGGCGTTTGGCCGGCTACGTACCAGGCGACGCAATGAGAGAATCGGGTTAAAGCGCGCGATTTCGGAGAGTGGAGACAAATCGATCGATGGAATAGGATGGAGTAGAAGTGTAAGATGTGAATGCAACGAAGCAGAAGGCCAGAAAGAGCTTCTAGTGAATGCACTCTAATTTCCCCGTCGCCAGCATTCGTGAAAGACGTCCGTGGGCAATTCGAACGCGTAGCAGCCTTTTCGAGTTTTCGAATTTCTAATCAAAACGAAAGCAATACTTCAGTTCTTTTCACTATTATCGTGGATAATGAGTCTCAAGCCAGTGATTTATGGCTGAAATAGAATCATGATTTTTCCGCGCAAGATTCCTTTAATAAGCTACGAAAAGAATAAAACGAGGAAAGAACTCAACAGACATATTCGTAAGGTCTGGAAAACGTCTGCCAAAGTGAAGAATATTTGGACCTTTCTGTGACCCATCGTGGTTGTTAGGTATGGGCAGTGTATGACCCTACAGAAAGAGTCAAAGACCTTAGGAATAAGTCGCACAAGCGCAAGAAAAAGGGATGACTTGGGTGGGACGCGTTACCGCGTCACAATGTCCCACGAGGTGCGCAAAGTGGGACGCGTTACCGCGTCACGCTGTCGTCAACGTGTTACCACTCAGGGCAGCTTGATCACGGCCATGTTGTGAATGACACTTGGGCCACTGATTTTAACGTAGGGCCTCTATTTCACTCAAAATCCTTATACCCGAAAAACACCTCCTAAATTTGCTCGAGATAGCGCGTCTCTAAGAAGACTGGGCTCTATTCACGTTAACTTCATCTACAGCCTCAATCACGAGCGTAGTGCTGGACTTTCAGCCAGTGTTCCCAACTGCGACCTCTCTGTTATCAAAAAGACTCCTTCATTGGTAAGCGACCAGCAGACAGTGATTCTGTGCCCAAATTCTCTTACTGATGTACGCTGTGGGGGAAGGTGAGTGCTGCTTTTGTGAGTCTCGCATTATCTGAACCTGCGCGATTCACCCTATTCTTGCCCTTTGATCTCGCGAAACTGGCACCAATCCAGGTTGGCGTCGCAGGAATCGTATACATGGCGGTTCCAAAAAGCTTAGTCAACTTCGGGCACTTTATTTTTTGCTTTTTCAATTAGGTGATGAAGCAGAATTATTGCCTTTGTCTTTTTTGCTTGATGAGACGGCTCCTCGAGATGCTATAAATTTCCCCGTTACTACCACTTTGCAATCTTATTCTACTGAGCAAGTGCAAAATTAGGCCGCTGTTTTCGAGGCTTCTGAAAAAGATTTCTGAAAACAGCAAGGGATTCACAACTAATTTTCGTTGTATCTTGCCCAATAATAGGTGTTAGTTGTATCTGCCCAATAATAGTGTAATAGTTCTAGTCCAAGACGAGAAGAACACTCTACCTCTACACCTGGATAGCATCAACAGGAAGCCAGCCTAGCAGAAGAAGTGCTTTTAGCCAAGGAAGTGTTCTGTCTGGAGGGTCCGTGCAAAACAGTGTGATCGTGATAAAAGTAAAAGCGATTTTCTATTTGGGGGCATAGATAGGTGCTGCCGTAACAGTTTCAGATGGAGAGGAAAAAAGTCGATTTTCATGAGGAAGAATTCCCGACTAAAGGAATCTATTGAAACTATTTTGTGAAAAAACT